TGATGAGCATTGTCCCTTTGTTTGCTGTGGACTAATGGTTTGTGGTCCTGGTTTCCTGAAGGATCTGGGTTCAAGTCCACCTGCAGGAGAATGTGGTTAACTTTCATGTTCATGATTCGAATGTGACGTTCCATTTTAAAATCCCACAGCTGACACGAAGACATTCAGCACTGATTTCTTTTCAAATTCAAATAAACCTTATTGGCATGAATGTATAGCAACGATATTGCCAAAGCTACATGTAAATTACATAAGCACAGTTAATTTCATACACTTCATTAAATAAGGAAATAAAACAGCTAAAGTTGTTAAAGTGTTAATACAAAAAAATAATAAAAACAAATATATAAAATATAAATATATATATATACTTACTTTTAATTAATTAAAACAAACTAAGTAAATGACACAGTAACGTGTTATTATAATAATATATTAAAATTTTAAATAAAATAAATAGATTAAATCGTAAATGTGCGTGTGTATATTAAAAGAAAATTCATTAGTTAATAAAAAAAACCAAAAATAAATAAATCAGTATCAAAGGAGAGATTTAAAAACATAACAATTATTAAAATATCAAACAATCAAATTAATAATAATTTGAAAATTAGTACAATTATTTATCAGTCTGAGTTTCCACTGGTTTTCTTTTCTCACAACAGAACATGAAGAACATGAAGCTGCAGTTTCTGGCTCCAACGTTCTTGTCCACAAAGTCTTTGAACACAACAACATGTGAGACAGACGCTTCCTGAAACCGTCCGTTGAGTCTGATGTTGCTTTATTTTCCTCTCCGTCTCGTCCTGCTGCAGTTTCACACCTCCAGTTAATGCAGGACACGTTTCAGCTGCAGATTAATGACAGCAGAAGAGAATCCACCTCATCATCATCATCATCATCATCATCCACCCTCAGCTCAGACTCAAACCTGCACGCCCTTCTGATGTACCTCTGCTGTCAGCTTCTCAACAGCTCTGACAACATCACAACTGTCCTAATGTGATGATGCAGCACTGCGTTGATGAGCTGACTGCATGCTAGAGAAACAAGAGAAAACAATATATACAGTTATGGCACATGCAGCAAATAATTATACACATTTACAACCAGAAAGTTAAAAGTATGTGAGTATAGGCAGGAAAACGTCCTCAAAGTATTAAAGCAGTAAAATGTCCCTGTTGTACTATCACAGATTCTTCTTCCTCCTCATTAATGTGCAGCAGGATGTTGCTGCTGTGAGCTGCAGCTCATTCTGAACTCTTTAGTTTCAGACTGCAGCTGATGATTCTTTTTATTCTGGATCAATCTGCTGATTATTTATGTCTTAGAATCGATCGATTATTTGGTTTGTAAAGATTTTGAAAATAGTGAGAAATGTAGAGAGCAGAGACTCCTCTCTCGCCCTGCGGCTGCTCGTTCTGTTCTCTGCCGCCGAGCTTCATTCACCTCTGATCAGGAATGTTTATGCACAAGAACAGGCGGCTGGTTGTAGGCGTGTAATCGCTTGTAATGCTGACGGAGATTATGTCACCGCGCTGGGATGTTTCAGTGCAGAGCGTGCCATGAGGCAAAGATTGCACAACCCACACTGACCAGCACTTGTTTGTTCAGGTGAAGTGAATCCTGATCTGAGACTGATCAAATATGTTCAATGATGAGTGTTTCTTGCTTTTCTACCTAATTTTCCCTCTTAAGATTATTTACTTTTGTCTTTCAGTCTGAAAGATTTGATTGATTAAGTCTTCAGGCTGCGCAGCAAACCTGTAAACCGGACAGGAGACACAACCTCAAGTCTTTTACATGATTTTACTCAGATTAGTTACTGTGTCAGTAAATTTCATGTAAAAGAATAAGTCTGGTGATAGTCTAGATTTTTAGAATAGTAGTTAATAAATCCCACGTGTAGACTCACACCAACAGTGAGCATATCTACTGACAACTTGAGCTCCTAGAGCTCCATCTGAGAAGATTCTCAGGCCCCATCCACACTGCGGCGTTTTGGTTTTAAGACAGAGACCTTTTGCTATGTTTGCACCTCCCGTCCAGACTAAAACGGCAAAAACGAACACCTAAAACGGAGAAGTTTGAAAACGCTGCGACCCCGTTTTTTGTTTTGAAACTCCGGGTAGCGTTGTAGTGCGGACGGGCAAAAACGGAGGACTTTAGAAAGGATGACTCAGACGCTCACGATCAGCTCTCTGATTGGGTCTTATAAGTCATGCAAAGCAGAAACACGATGCTACTGACAGGGTTTTTGATTTGGTATTTTTATTTAAATATTTTATAGGCTACCGTGTAAATAACACTTACAGCCTACACTTGTACTCTGCATGTCGCCGTTTACTCCGGTGTTACATTCAGTAACAGTCCCAGCTCGTTATTGATCCATGCAAAATAAAATCTGGTTCTTCGTCTGTATCTCTTTATTCTTTCACCAAATCTTCTGTAACTATGGAACAGACCATCTTCTTCCTGTTTACACAGCACGTGCATGGCCAGTGCACGTGAACGGCCACTAGATGTTGTTTCAGTCGTTTGAATGTAGAGGAGAATAATTCGTTTTTAAAATGCCGTTTTTAAACTAAAATGGAGTAGTGTGGAGGGGCCTCAGTCATCTAGGCCACAGTTATCAAGGAAGGTTAAATCAAGTCAATAAAACTGGACGTGATGGATACAGCTTGGTTTGTTAGTGCGCCGACAGCCGTAGTAGAAGTAGAAAGCAGAGCACTGAACTGGAACTCTGTCAGATGAACAGCGACTGGACAACTCAAGGGTCAAAATCAAGCCTTTACAGAACACATCAGCTCAGTGGACAGTAACGTCGAGGTCACATGAGAGCATGTCAGCAACAAGAGGACTGCTGTAAACATTATAAAGAGGACAGAGCCTCCACGTGGAGTTTAGGGGAAACCCACACACAGGCCGATGCTCACTTTTTGACTCTCATCACCCTCTGGAGCAAAAGATAGAAGTTATCAGGACGCTGCGCCACTGAGCTGAGAACACACCAATAAATGCCCAAGCACAAGAGAAGGAGCATAAACACCCAGAGGAGGTACTTCCAGCTTGGTGGGAAAACTAAACAACCTTTACACAAATGCATGGCTCAACACAGAAGGGCCAACTCGTCAGGTCACTGAAGGACAGGGTACTTTCTTTCAGTTGCAACACTGTTCATATTCTGGACAGGGAGGAAAGATGGTTCAAAAGAAAGAAAGAAAAAAGAAAGAAGCCATTTACACCATAGTAGAGAGACCATCTCCCAACAGGGGAGGAGGGCTGAGACACCACTAATACCCAAATTTGGCCTCATGTGACAATGCCAATGGCGGCCAGGTGACTCCAATGATCTTCAGCTCCGGGGTCCTAGTATTTTCCATGCATACAGTGCAGCGAGCTGGCGTTATAACCCTGGAAAATAAGACAGTGTGAAAGCAGCTAAAGTGACTTATTTGAAAATTACTGGAGGTTTTACTAATACTGTAAATAAAATAACAGCCAATCGTGTTTTTAAATGTTTATTTTTTATCATAAATGTTAAATTAAGATTTCTGAACAAAACAATACAGCTTCATAATATGCAGCCGGGAACACAAAAAACTAATTAATGCGCATAAAACAATCTCTCAATCATATTTTAATGTCACTGCAGACTTTGCTCTGTGTACAGTTTCTTTAAATCTGAGGGTGATTTGTGTACTTGCTCTTTAGGTTTTTTTGTTCCAAAACTGAAACTACTATTTAGTTGTTTAATGTCTGTAGAGAAAACAAGAATAGTTAACATGACATTTAACTGATCTGAGTTCTGATTTATCTGCAGTGACGACTTCCTGCAGTGACATAATGCACTTCAGTATTTCACATACAGTAGCCGACAGTAAGTTGAGGTCTGATTGAGGAAGAAATCCATTGTTCTTCCGCAGATTCTGGCGAAACGCCCACTGCAGAGCTGGAGGGAGGTGGAGGATCAGAACAACACATCGCATAATGAGTTGAGGCTCCTGCGTCAGGCGGCGGCTCTGTGAATGAAGCGGCGGTCATGTGGTGTGACGGCCTCACTGAGTTTCAGTGCAGCAATGCAGGATGACAACTCGGAGGGGAGGATTGTAAAGAGACTCTGAGGTCACAGATTCATTCACGCCTCCTTACTTTCATCGGTTACTCAACAGATCTGATGTTTTTAAGGCTCTTTTAATTCTTCACGTCAATCAAAACAGAACTGGTATTAAAAAAAACATGTTTGTAATTGTAGATATTTGATCTATAATTACACACAAAGGAACAAATCTGCTTAAAATGCAGAATGTAACCACTGAAGAGGTGGTATTCTGCTTTCTGGCTTTTTCCCTCTCCTTTATTGAGTTATGTACCTTTTTTTGTGCATGTAACAGGTTTGCAAAGTGAAAAAGCCCAAAGTTCAGCCGAACCCAAGCTGTTTACCGGCTTCTCGCTGACCTTGCTGAGCATGTGCAACTTCCAACAAAGATCATTTAGAGACAAGATGTATCACTCCATAGCTAAAACAAAGCCTTCAACACAGGCTGAAAAGAGGAGCTGCAGCAATGTGCAGGATGACAAAAAATATGGTGTTTTTTGAAAATTACACCATGAGGGCAGCGGACGCCAACAGACTCATCCAAGGCCAGTGACGTTGTGGGGTTGGAGCTGGACTCTAAGAGAGGAGGACGCTGTCCAAGCTACACGTCATCTTAGACAATGTCTCCCACTCGCTCCATGACCTGCTGCTCAAACACAGGAGCTCTTTCAGTGCAAGACTCCCATAATGCACCACAGAGCGCCACAGGAAGTCATTCCTGCCTGTGTCTGACACTTAGTTATTAAACTAGACCTCTTTATCTATTTTCTGTCCAATATTACCTGTTTAATAATTATGTGCAATATTCTCTGCTGCTATTTATTCACCTGTCCTTTTTGGTTCACCATAATAATTCTTAATAATGTAAATATTGTACATACCCACACACCTTTATATTTGTCTTTATTTTTTTATATTTATACTATTATATTTATATACTCTTTATGTATCTACCTTTGACAAGTGCAATTGTGACAAAAGAATTTCCCCATCAATAAAGTATTTCTGATTCTGATTCTGATTCTGATTTTAAGGTAAGAAAAAATCAATTGTTCTAAACTGTAAGATTTAAAAATAACTTCAAACCACCCGTGAGGTTTTGTTTACAGAGTGAATGCAGCCACGTGTCTTTCAATGCGTGCTCTTCCTCTCGTAGTAAAGTCCCCCTCTTTCTTCTTCTTCCCTTTTTCTCGCCTCAGTGGTTCAGGATCTGAGGTGGAAATCAAAACCCCTGCAGAGACTCAGCCCCGGTGTTTTCCCTCTCACTGACTGAAGTGAAAGTATAGATCTTTCCTCTCGAGTCTTTGCAGCAGATGACTGAAAAAACACCTACTCAGTCTCACTTTGTCACTTCTCTTTCTTTCAGCAAAGGGTGCGGAGCGTTTGGTAGCTTCTTTTCTTCTGTGCCCTCAGGAGAGGCGTCTGAGTGTCCACGTCTCGGGATAGAACCCTCCTGCCGGCTCGGCGGAGATGTGCACGGGTCCATCCGTAGACCAGGCAGTTTAGGAAACCCTGAGAGGCTGAGGTGAAAGCCTGAGGACAGAAGACATGCTCCAGTTACTCAAACTATAACAGCTCAATTTCCCTGCACATTTTAGAGGATCATTTCGGTTGTTTTGCACTTTTTATGCTGGTTGCTGGTTGATTTTTCTGTGCTTGTTTAAGTGATGCTTATTTTGTCCACAATGAGCTCACAGTTGTATAAAAGGCTTGTTCCCATACCAGGAGTTGAACCCAGGCTGCCTGGGTGATCATGTTAAAGTCACAGGTCCCATATGGTCTAGCGGTCAGGATTCAACTCCCGGTATGGGAACTGATTTATTCCAAAGCTATTATAATTGGTTTGGGCCTTGCTCGCTCTCTACATACTGTATATAGATGCAGCACCTGCAGGGTTCAAATATTAGCACCAAGACTCAGGTGACTATTTCATGTATTCAATTCAAATACGTGTTCACGTGTAATTAAACAACTCACTGTCATAATTAATTCAACCCAGGTGAAAACCAGGAATCCTGACCACTAGACCATATGGGACATGTGACACCAACATGATCGAGAACTCTGAGACCATAATGAACTCATGTTCCAAAACTAGTGTAGTTTCCTGAAGTAACCTGACAAGTTATTTGAGACTCTAAACGTGTTCTACGGCACTTATTAGTTTCTCACTATGGGAAAGCGGGAAAGGTTTCCTGCTTTTCAACTCGGTTTAAGTGACGGAATGGGAAATTAATTTTGATGGTAAGTTGTTTAACTACATGTGAAGACAAATTACTCATATTTCTCCAGGTACTATATACACATATAGAGTGAGGAACACCTAAACCAATTGTAGCTTTGGAACAAATCAGTTCCCATACCGGGAGTTGAACCCGGGCCACCTGGGTGAAAACCAGGAATCCTGACCGCTAGACCATATGGGACATGAAAGTAACAGTTGTCATGACTTCAAGAGTATAATGAAATCATGTTACCAAGCTAGTTTAGTTTTCTCAAAATTTGTTATTAGACACCCAGGAAACCTGTTCTAAACTTGATTATTTTAAGTATGTCCCATATGGTCTAGTGGTCAGGAGGCCAAGCTGTTTACCGGCTTCTCGCTGACCTTGCTGAGCATGTGCAACTTCCAACAAAGATCATTTAGAGACAAGATGTATCACTCCATAGCTAAAACGAAGCCTCCAACACAGGCTGAAAAGAGGAGCTGCAGCAATGTGCAGTATGACAAAAAATATGGTGTTGCTCTGGTAGAACCCCTAAATAAGATTTGGAAGCTGAAAATGAGCAGAATACCACCTCTTTAAATGTTTTACTTTAATCTTTGGGAAGCAGAAATCACCGTGCAGATCTGCAACCAACGAGACAACGAATCTGCTGAATACCTGGGAGTGCACATGGACAATAAGCTGGACTGGGCCAAGAACACTGAGGTCCTCTACAGGAAGGGCCAGAGGTGCATCTATTTTCTGAGGAGGCTGAGGTCCTTCAACATCTGCAGGACCATAATGAACTCATGTTCCAAAACTTGTGTAGTTTCCTGAAGTAACCTGACAAGTTATTTGAGAGCCAACAAAGCTGTTCTATGAAAACCAGGAATCCTGACCGCTAGACCATATGGGACATACTTTAATAATTGATAAAGTTAAAGTTATTTTTCTTTCCAGGAGCTGAACCTGGGTGAAACCTAGGAGGTCTGACCGCTAGACCATATGGGACAGGTGACTGAAAGGTTATAGAGAACTCATGTTCCCAAAGTAGTGTAATTTCTTGAAGTTACCTGACAAGTTATTCGACACCCAAGAAAGCTGCTCTAAAGGGAATCCTTTTAACCCTCTCCCATATGGTCTAGCGGTCAGGATTCCTGGTTTTCACCCAGGCGGCCCGGGTTCAACTCCCGGTATGGGAACTGATTTATCTCCTGGTAAATTAATAGTGACGTTGGTCTTTGACAGACTTTAATCAGGGTTCAGCACATCAACTGAAACTGTGCAGCTGGTTTATTTTTATGGACATCTACGTTTCCTACATGCTTTTGGAAACGTGTCCCTACCGTTCTGTCTCCGGGTATTTTGAGCATCTCAAACTACACAGAGCTTTGCTTGATGACTTCATACCCTGAGAACGGTGGCGTTAGTCTGTAGATTAACTTTAAGAGCGGTCATTGCAAGATGACGTTAGCTTTGTATCAAGCCTCAACAATCTTCTGCCAGTCATCTCTAAGCTTAGACATGTCCCATATGGTCTAGCGGTCAAGATTCCTGGTTTTCCGTAGGACAGACCTTTGTTATGTATTTGCTTTAGTCTGAAGTTTTGTCAAACTATCTTGGCTCAGTTGGTGAGTGTCTATGTGCCCTTTGGGCTGGACTTTGGGCTTTATCACTTTGCAAACCTATTGCATGCACAAAAAAGGAATATAACTCAATGAAGGAGAGGAAAAAAGCCAAAAAGCACAATACCACCTCTTTAAAGAAATCACATAGAATTCTATTTACACATGATCCATGATGAGAAAGATAAAAAAATAGAAACGCATTGCAAAAATAGCACATTGCCAAAATGTAACAAATTATTGGGGAGCCCCCGTAGTTTGCACCCTGTCTACAATCTCAACCATCGAATCCAGTAACAGGAAATAACGTCACTCCGTTACTCACAGATTTTATACATTTTTGTGGGTGTTGAAATGTTCCGCTGTGTTGCTGAATTACTATAGAAAAAACAAAACACCACTTAATTTCAGGTTAAAATGCATTCTAATGCTCGTTACTGAGATTGTAAGGGGTATAATATTACAGAAATTTTATTAGTAATGCTTTCTATTACTGCGTAACAGCAAAAAGCAATACATCACTGTTACGCTTTTGTAATGTGTTACTCCCAATTCTGGGTTAGCCTTAGATTTATCCTGATTAAGTTTGAGGTAGTTGCAGCTCATTCAAGCATTAATGTAATTTAAGCACTCCATCAGGTTGGATGGTTACAGAGTGTCCGAAGCCTTGGTGTGTATGTAGAGTTGCGTGTCGTCTGCATAGCAGTGAAGGTTGAGGCCATGCTGATGTGGGAGAATATAAGTATTTATGAAATGGTCCAGGAGCCGAGCCCTGGGGGACACCATGAGAAAGGGGGGATGTGGAAGACATGGAAGAAGTTTTGTCCAGCTGTAAACCATGATTGTGGAGTGCCAGTGACACCAAGTAGTGATTCTGAGCTGTTCAGCAGAAACATATGACAGACAGAATCACGAACCCATAGACTGTCCATGCATGTAATTTAAATGTTACACTGTTGACACTTTTTCGCAGGTGTCCGGCTGCAGACTGACCTGTGATATGTAGAGGGCGACCCCGGCCTTGCCCTGACCCGCTGTGGGTTTCACCACCTGAAGAAATGCCAGACCCACCGCTGAGGAAACAACACAGAAGCACAACCTCAGACACAGATTCAAATCCTGTTAATGCTGCTTACATCATCCATCACATCAGAAACTTCCAGTCTCATATGTTCACTAACCACGGCGGTCTGAATTAGGATGAAGGAACAAACCTGGACCCCAACAGAGGACGAAGATCAGCGGGTAAAGGAGCATCCGCCGGTCCATCACACGAAAGGAGGCCCGCTGCTGGTTGCCTAAGTAACCGTTTGATGTCACGACCCGCCTGTAAATATGACAGGCTTTGACCACGAGCACCTGGAGCACAAGAGGAGAGTTTGTTATCAGCACCATTTGGTTTGTGGTCCAAACACTGAACAGAAACACTACTGCTCCACAGCAGCTAGCTTAGCTGCAAAGTGCAGTTGAAGTATTGAATGCTTATTAAGGCCCATGAGATATTTGAACAACCTATTAATTCAGCAAAAGATCATTACTTTCCCATACCGGGAGTTGAACCCGGGCCACCTGGGTGAAAACCAGGAATCCTAACCGCTAGACCATATGGGAGCACACACTTATAGCATAATGAACTCCCTGTTCCCAAGGTTGTTTAGGTTCTTTAAGTAACGGCTCGTGCAGACTACACGACTTTCAGCGTCGGCCGATTGCCGTGCTGTTCACACTACACAACTTATTGACGGGAGTCTTGAAGTCATTTTGACTGATCGGTGACAGGGGGTCACACACCACATGAGCTGACAGCGGCTGTGTCACCCGACACTGGTCTCCAAACCACGTTTTGTCAAGAAAACACACGTGAAATGTGAAACGGGAAATGACGCGAACCTACACATAAAACAGCTCTTTGTTATTATAAAGATAGCAATTATAAAGACAAAGAATCTGTGTGAAAGAATGGATTACCAAGTGCAGGTAGCAGGGATCGTCTGAGCTACAGAGAGCTGGAGGGGAGTAAAAAGTGTATTGCAGTGAAAAAGTAGCTGCCTGCTCTCATTGGCTGGATGTGGATGTCGAGGCGGCCGACTCTTCCAGATATTTGGCGTGCTAGATATCTGGCTGGAGTCGGTGATGTGTCAGTGATGTGTCGAGAGCCGTTTTGATGCGTCCTTGAGTAGTTCACACATATAACGACTGGCGACCGCTGATCGATCGCTGTTTTACCCCTGATCACAGCCTGACGGTCGCCGAGCTTGCCGAGCGGCAAATCGGGCTAAAAATTGTGTAGCATGAACTAGGCTTAACCTGAAAAGTTATTCAACAACCTAGAAAGCTGGTCCTGTATGAGTATATACAATATGGTCAGGACTCCTGGGGCGAGTTCAATCTCAAAACGTTTTTGATTGAATGACATGTTTCCTTGAAACGTTCCACAACGGGCTTCTATGTTTGTTTTCTTCTGTTTGGTGGGCGTGTCGCAGGTGTTACCCAGTCAGTTGCAACAAGTTTGTAAACACAACAGTGTTAAAAGGGCAGGGAAATGCAGTGCGCTTGCGTACTCAACAGGGTGTTCAGGGAACCACCCTTTCGCTTCGTTTTGTTGCCGTTGAACTCGCCCCTGGTTTTCACTAAGGAGGCCTGGGTTCAACTCCTGGTACGGAAACCCTTATTAAAGCCCATCAGACATTTAAACTACCTATTAGTTTAGCAGTAGCTCAGTCTGTAAGGATTAGACTGGGTAGCTGGAGAGGTGCCAGTTCACCTCCAGGGCACTGCCGAAGGAATCCTTGAGCAAGCCCCTGAACCCCCAACTGTTCGGGGCGCCGCACTGAGTGGCAGCCCCCTCACTCTGACATCTGACATTGCTATTGGTCCTGTTTGTGCATGTGCTTGTGTGTATTTCGGACCTGTGTGTAAAAATACTAACATAATAACAGAGTGAAAACAGTGAGTTTCCCCTTGTGGGACTAAATAAAGTAATGATCTTCTTCAAAAAGAAGATCATTACTTTCCCATACCGGGAGTTGAACCCAGGCCGCCTGGGTGAAAACCGGGAATCCTGACCGCTAGACCATATGGGAACTAGCTTTAGATGCTCATAGGCAGTTTTGCTCACTCAATCATTACCTTGTGCATTTTATAAGATTTAGATTTTATCAGAACCGGCAATACTTTATCGATCCCCAAGGGGAAATTCATTCTCTGCATTTAACCCATCCTCTTTAGGAGCAGTGCGCTGCCATCCTACAGCGCCGGGGACCAGTCCAGGGTTTGAGGCCTTTCTCAGGGCGCAGCTTCAACATGGGTCGTGCTAGACTTGATACTGCCAACCACTGCTTTCCAAGCCAAGTCCTTACAGACTGAGCTAATGCCGCCCTTACCAAAAAAAAAGCAAAAATAGGGAAGAGCGTGAACGCAGTCCCCCACTACCACAAATTATGCAGTTGAGATTCCCACATTTGGGAAATTCGCAGGGGTCAGCACAACCAGAGTGCAACGGCTAAGCCTCGCCTGGGTGAGCCACCTTCTTGATCATGGTATCTCCCCTGCCAGGTAAGTATAACTAACCTTCATGTCTGGATTTTGACGTAATTATTTTGAAATAAAACCCTCCTACCCTACCCTTAGTCTTTCTGTCCTATATGGTCTAGTGGTCGGGGTGACCCCGGTTCAACTCCGGGTATGGGAAATGAAATATTCTAAAAGGGGCATCAGTTTTCAAATGAGAGATCTTTTTCAAGTAGTTTCATGTCACATCACATCATATTCTTTTATTTCCTGCCATATCACTTTATGTCCTTTCATGACATGCACGTGGCAAGTCACGCCACGTCACTCACAATAATGCTGAGAAGTGTGAGGAAGAAGGTGGCGAGGAAGATGCCCATGCAGTAGGTGTGCAGCAGGCTGCAGGCTCTGATTGGCTGCTGGTGCTCTGAGGTAAGATACAGCGCTCCGGTGTGCATCAGCAGACACCTGGTTTGGTATGGTGCACAGTGAGGGTCAAAACAAACAATTTTTAATACACACGTTCTAAAAATGAAAACAGTTTTCAAGCAGCTTCTGTTTTAAGTGAAATAAAATATTTAATCCTTTCCCAGGTGTTTCGAAATGAAAGTAAATAACCCACTCTATCATGAGTGACTGCAGACGTGTTAGTGAGTGTGCCTTGATAGTGACTGAACATTGCAGGTTTTCTCCTCACCTGTATGGCTCGCTGAAGTTAGCTTGACATTGGCTGATGTTTCCTTGTATGAAAACAGGTGCCATCAGCAGCACAGGAAACAGACTGAGGACCAGAGGAGGTGAAGTACATTTAAAATCCAAATTCCGCAACAATACACACATGTGTTCAATTTTTTTTTAATTGGACCTCAGTAGAGAGATCATTATATCCCGCTGCCTGACAGTTTGTACTCACCCTGAAAGCAGCGCGGTGATTTTGCCAGCGGTGCTCACTCTGTTGGAAAACTGGTAAAAAAAAAAGATGGGAAAGATTATTTAAAAATGACAAAACTCATTCAAATTCTGTCTGAATCTGCAAGTTATCAGAGAAACAAGCTGAGCAAATGTTAGCGGCAGCTCGGCTCGCAGTGTGCGAACGGCGTCGGAGAAACACTGAATTTTAACGTGAAACTGCTTTATTCAGTGTGTCTGCTGGTTTTATTCACCAGGTCCGTTTGTTTTGGAGAACAACCGGGAGGAGCTGCCTGAAGTGAAACAGCCTATTTTCATTCCCAGGTTGACAAATACCTACGCTTTGTCACATCCTTTGGTGTCCAGTAACGACACATATGGTATCTTTTAGCATCATTGAATGCTGAAAGGAGGCCTAGTATAAATAAAAGAATAGTCAGAATAAAGAGGTGGTTGCGTAACCCAGGAGAGTGGTGTTTGTTTCCCGTGTGAAAGAAAAAGTCATGAAACATTGACTCTTTTTAGTTACTTAACTTACGTAATTTAATTCACATAACTAACATACTTATTTTAACCCAAAACATGATCTTATGCTAAACCTAACTAAGTTTTTGGTGCCTAAACCCAAACAACCCGTTCTCATCTCAACTCGTCACATAAGGACACTTTGTCAAGACCCCTTGCTGTTGCTTTTTAACGCCCTGGGTACCCTTTAGTGTCATTTGTGCAGGAGTAGGGCTCCGTGGTCAAGTTAGGAAGAATAAATATGCAACGTCCCGTTACACTTTCAAAATAAAACTAGTGGTTAACGTTGTGAAACGTTTTAATTTGATAAGGTTTAAGCACCAAAACTACTTGGTTAGGTTCAGGAAAAGATCATGGTTTGGGTTAAAATAACTAACGCACTAACGTGATTTAACTTACGCAAATTAAACATCGTTACTTGCATAATTTACGCTACTTACGTGATCTACATGACTTAAATAAAACATTTAATGTTTTTGTTTCTCATGGGAAACAAACGCTGGTGCCCTGGGTGTCCAGTTTCTGATCCTTTACATTTATTCATTTTAGCTCACACGTTTATCCAAGGTGACTTACAATTGCTTTATATGTCAGAGGTCACACGCCTCTGGAGCAACAAGGGGTTAAGCGCCTTGCACAGGGACACAACGGTGGATGTGTCACAATGGGGAATTGAATCCAGGTCTCCAACAACAAAGGCATGTGTCTTGTCCTCTGTGCCATTGCCACCCCAACGCAACCTCCTTACTCAGGCTCTTCTGTTAAATATCCTACACCGACGCCAACGGGCCTCAACCATGCGTCCGTATGTGATGTCCTGGGATAAGAATGATCCCACGCTACTTCACGATGTCACCAAACTACGTCCTTTGTTACTGTTTTGATGTGAGAGACCCCTGGCGGCAGAAAATTACAAACTAGTTTGACATTTTGGGGCTTTTGTGCTGGAACAGATGAAAACATCAATGCCATGATGCCATGGCAATGAATGCTGGGAGCAGTTGCCAGGAAGTTACTGGTCCTGACCCAGAAATAGTCCGGCACCCAAAATGCCCCAGTAAAACCAACACTTCGGTTATTGAACAGATTATCAGAGGAGACATAGTGTTAATCAGCCATCTTTAGAGGTGTTGGTAGGTGGATTTAGTTATCTTTGGACAGAGCAAGGCTAGCTGTTTCCCCTTGTTTCCAGTCTTAATGCTAAGCTAAGCTAACCCGTTGGTGTTTGAGATGTTCAATAAGAGGAAACAGATTTTAAATTAACAATATGGCAACAACATCCCTGCAAAAACATCTCAGTCATTTCTTATTCTAAACACACACATAAAAACATAGAGCTCAGTCAGACGAGGCCTTTGCCGTGTAAGCAAGGTAGAGATATGTGTGGTGGTTGCACGTACGTGTACCGAGTATCCGGTCATGCAGCTGTAGAGCTTCTCTCTGATTTCGGTGTAGAGGTTCCACATGTAGTTGAGCGTGTAGAAGAAGGAGGCCATGTAGAGGATCTGACAGAACAAAAACAGGAGGTTTTCAGTTCGGGAAAATCTCACCTGACAGGGCGATCAGAATTACTTTCCTTGGGGCTTGTTTGTGTTTGGCGGCACACTCTCGCCTAAACAAGAGATAAATAATTGAACCAGAAGCTGACCCGGGCTCGATGCTTCGGAACAATAAATGTAGGTCAGGAATGTGTTGTGCTGCTCTTCACGTCTGCCCTGGTTCTGCTGCTCTATTTCATCCCAGACTGACCCAGTTCAGGATCAGTTCTGGATAGGCCCCAAAATACCAATATCAGTCTGTTTACTGTAGAATAAATATTTCAACATTAGACCAAATACTCTGACTACGAAAGTAAACAGGCTTTTCAGATGACTTTAAAGGACCACTGTGGTCATTTTGAATGTTGAGCCAAATTGAATACAGTTTGCGTTTTAGGAAGAAACATGTATAACCTCTAAAGAAAGCTGGAGCACGTTGCAGTATGGACCTGAAACAATGTGTTGTCTCACAATCGTGATTCAATACAACAGTGTAGGAGTCAGGCTTCCTGGTTTTCACCCAGGTTCAACTCCCAGAAAGAGAAATACCTTACCTCTAAACTTTAGTTACTCTAGTTATTTCCTGTACTGGAAGGCATCCTAACCGCTAGACCATATGGGACATTTGACAAGAAGGTGATTATGGTTGCAACTTTGGGAGTTTAAGAACTCATGTTTTTTACATTTACATTCACTCATTTAGCTGACGCTTTTATCCAAAGCGACTTACAATTGCTATATATGTCAGAGGTCGCACGCCTCTGGAGCAACGAGGGGTTAAGTGTCTTGCTCAGGGACACAATGGTGGATGTGTCACAGTGTCACACATCTCATCCATTACACCATCACCACCCCAAGCAAGTTTAGTTTCTTGAAGTACCCTGACAACTTATCAGACACCCAAGAAACCTGTTCTAAACGTAACTGTTTTAATCATGTCCCATATGGTCTAGCGGTCAGGATTCCTGGTTTTCACCCAGGCGGCCCGGGTTCAACTCCCGGTATGGGAAACAATAGTTTAGTGTTGGATAAAACTATTAGTGTTGTTCGGTTGTTTAAATTTCTGGTAAATGAATAACCTCACTGGGTTGTTTAAACACATGAAGAAGAAAAGTCTTCCCCCTCTGGCTCACATACAAAGATCGTTCCTGCTTCATTAAAACATCCGGTTAGTTTGATGCATTGAACTCTCATTTAGGCCAGTCAACAGATGCTGTACTTAAAAGTCGATGCACGATATTGTGTTCATGAGACGAGAAGATATTTTAACACTGCTTTGAAGAAATATTTAATGCTAAAATATATGAGTATAAGTGTCTTGGGGTCATTAAAAACTTAATTTCATTCATTCTGGAGAAATTTTCAGCACCAATTTATTGTGGAAACACAAAAACTCAGTTGGCAGGTGACAATTCAAAATATAAAACTATAAGAGAATATAATGGAGTAATGAGTAACTTTTATTGGACAATGCAAATGTTGTTTCTTCTATATTTAAATTGCATTGCATGTCTTATTATTGTGCAAAGAAAGCAACTACACAGATACAACTGAGCTGACATCATTATAAGCTTAGTTTCCCATACCGGGAGTTGAACCCGGGCCGCCTGGGTGAAAACCAGGAATCCTGACCGCTCAATTCAAAGTAATACGTGTTCACGTGTTCACGTGTATTTAAAAAACTCACTGTCATAATTAATTTTCCATACTGGGACTTGAACCCAGGTGCAAACCAGGGATTCTGATCACTAGACCAGAGGTTTTCAAAGAGGGAGGTGAGCCTACCCAGGGGGGCTCCAAACAGTTTCAGGGTCCAGGTTTCAGGAACTCATATTTGTATGTGCTTCCACACAGGTGGTACAATTAAGCAACAAACATCCAATCATGCTCTGCAGCAGGTATAAACATGCTGAGCAGGCCAAGTTGATTCTGGTTTTGTAACAGGATGGTGAGAGAAAAAGATCTGAGTGACTTTGAAAGAGGGTTCATTGTCGGGGCTTCAGTCACAGAGATGGCTCAGTTGGCTCGTGTTTCAATGGGAACAGTGACTGAAGTGACATCTGCAGATCTATAGGAAAGCCATAAGCAAACAGGGTCGGAGACTGTGCTCAGTCATCATCAGTGTCATCAGTAATACTTTTGGAAGAAATACTTTCCCATCCCAGGAGTCAGTGCTGCTGTGAGAAAATAATTAAATCATGTTCACAAGATAGCTCAACTATCATGTGGGTCTTTGAAGTGATGCTCCAAACTATTCTGTTGTCAACATCTCAAGACGACATAATCTATTATCATGCCCATCTTTAACTTTAGCCAAGGCCCATATGGTATTATGGGATTTGAAAGTCTGAGACTATGGACCATCATGGTCATGTTATTTGATCACATTAAAACTCAACAGTTGAGCCACGACAGTCAAACTAGTGGAGTTTCTTGAAGTACCCTGACAAGTTATTTGACAGCCAAAGTAGCTGTTCTAAGCGTGCACATCATAAGCATGTCCCATATGGTCTAGCGGTCAGGATTCCTGGTTTTCACCCAGGCGGCCCGGGTTCAACTCCCGGTATGGGAAACTGAGTTTACCACATGTTGGATATCCCAGATAAATTGCTCTTTAAATGGACTCTCTGAACCTTTCTGTAACCTGTTCACCTCTCAGAACAACATTATCTTTGTTTCATGCCCATCTTTAACTTTAGCCATGAGCCATAGGGTCTACAGGAGGTTTCAAAGTCTGAGACTGTGGGCCTCCTGTCAGACAAGTCCTGGAAAAAGGCCTCCCCTCACCCGGCCTTAGTTTACCTGCTTAGTATTGCTTACTTCCTGGATGCCTGTGGGACCCTGATCATGATCACATAGACACTCACCAACTGAGCCAAGATAGTTTGACAAAACTTCAGACTAAAGCAAATACATAACAAAGGTCTGTCCTACGGCACTTATTAGTTTCTGACTCTGGGAAAGTGGGAAAACATTAAAATCCCCCTCTTTAACCACATGACACACATTTAGCCTCTTCTACGTGACCTCCTTTTGATAACTAATGACTTTTGTTTTTAACTTCCACTCACTGAGCCTCCCCTGAAACAGTTTGGACCCCCCTTTGGGGAGGTCCACCTTGCACTTTGAAATCCTTTGGTTATCAGGATCCCTGGTTTTCACCTGGGTTGAATTAATTATGACAGTGAGTTGTTTAATTACACGTGAACACGTATTTGAATTGAATACATGAAATAGTCACCTGAGTCTTGGTCCCAATATTTAAACCCTGCGGATGCTGCATCTATATACAGTATGTAGAGAGTGAGCAACACTCCAACCAATCATTTGTAGTTGGAACAAGTAATATCCCATACCGGGAGTTGAACCCGGGCCTCCTGGGTGAAAACCAGGAATCCTGACCGCTAGACCATATGGGACATGTCTAAGCTTAGAGATGACTGGCAGAAGATTGTTGAGGCTTGATACAAAGCTAACGTCATCTTGCAATGACCGCTCTTAAAGTTAATCTACAGACTAACGCCACCGTTCTCAGGGTATGAAGTCATCAAGCAAAGCTCTGTGTAGTTTGAGATGCTCAAAATACCCGGAGACAGAACGGTAGGGACACGTTTCCAAAAGCATGTAGGAAACGTAGATGTCCATAAAAATAACCCAGCTGCACAGTTTCAGTTGATGTGCTGAACCCTGAATAAAGTCTGTCAAAGACCAACGTCACTATTAATTTACCAGCAGATAAATCAGTTCCCATACCGGGAGTTGAACCCGGGCCGCCTGGGTGAAAACCAGGAATCCTGACCGCTAGACCATATGGGACATGACAACAACAACAAAGTGACAACAAAGATTCTCCCTTCAGGGTGTTCTTGTCAGGTTACTTCAGGAAACTACACTAGTTTGGGAACATGAGTTCATTATGGTCTCAGAGTTCTCGATCATGTTGGTGTCACATGTCCCATATGGTCTAGCGGTCAGGATTCCTGGTTTTCACCCAGGCGGCCCGGGTTCAACTCCCGGTATGGGAACAAGCCTCCTTATTAAGTCATGCTCACAGGACGATGGTTTTTTCATGTTATTAGCCAGTGGACAGTTTCAGCTCTGGGTATAAGGATCCACCTGAACTTCCTGGGATCAATTACTCTTTCATGAGTTCAACACAAAAGACAAAAAAAAAATCTCCTCATCATTAAGTGATAAAAAACTGCAGTTTATTTGGGTTTTCAGCAGCAGAATGGAAAAATAATTTCACTGCTTTTATCCAATGGAAGCTGTTTGTAGGAAATCACAAGGTTGACTGACACACCCATCCTCCAATCCCTGTGCTGGCGGGAGGGACCAAATTTAAATGTTGACGATGAAGGGCTGCAGCTCCTGAGTCGGTCAGAAACCGAATGTTTCATGTTTGTGAAACGGTGACGCTGAGTGAAATGAGCTGTCGTGTGTTTTTGAGTCAGTTAAACTGCTGTGTTGGTGAACCAATCAGCACTGTGTTCCTGTAGAGTGCGTGGAAGTGTTTTTTTAACACCAGGATTACCTGATCATTTCGCTGAATACCGGTTGTTTGACTTGGGTTCAGTTTGGTGCGGATGGTAAAACACACTGAGACTTTAGTCAGCCGCACTTCTCAGAAGGAAGTTGAGATTTTCCACTTGTATACGGATCAGCTTCATGTGAAGGTTCCTTATTTTGATTCATTATTAAGGAAACATGATTTAGTTTGTTTGAGTGACAGAAGGAAATCCCATAATATCTTCAAACAATAGTGAAAAAGCCCCCAAAAAACAGATCAGAGGGTCAGTGTCTCTCTGACCTCAGCTGACCTGCTGTCTGTTTACGAACCCGATCGCTGGCTTTCACGTGAATATCTTGATTAAATATTACATTTTTGAGAGGAAATAACACTTCATACAAAAGAATCAGACAAAATGCAAACACAGAAGTCCTCATGTGAAACAGTGTTAAGCAAGTTACTTCCAAAATGTAATACATTATTGATTACTAGTTAGTCATTAGTTATATTACAATATTACTGTCTCTGAATTATAATGCTTTACACTACTTTTTTTTGGGGGGGGAGGGTGGATTAGGATGAATCGTCTCCCACTTAGAAAGACGCTGTGCGCATTTACGCACAAGGTACAGCAGCGTAACGTCACTGATTATTTGAATATCTGACAGGATCAGTCAGGATGAACTGACAGCAGCCTCTCTGATCAGGAAAGTAACTCATTAAAGCGCAAACACACAGCCTGTAGAAATCTATTTACCCATGATCCATCAGGGGAGCTACCGTCTCGTCTCCCCGTAGTTTGCACTCTGCCAACAATCTTGACCATCAGATTCCCGCAACAGGGAATCAGGTCAGTCTTTTACTCCTGGATTTTCTCTGTGTTGATGAATTATTAATAAAACAAAACACGTGAGATTCTAACGGGTCTAATATTACCTTTTTTGTTTTTTTTAGTAATGCATTATATTCTATATTTCTATATTTATTTCAATACATTACTGTAATTGGGTCCCAACACTGGTGTGAAATGACCTGTATGGTTCTAACTCTGGTAGAAAATATCCTTTGGTAAACAGCTGACTGATAAGATGCAGATAAGTCTGGTGTTAATCTTTGCTTTACTCAACAAATCTCATGTGCAGACCCCGGCTGCGGTCCGGTACCCACACTCCTCTATTATTCAGTATACCAGAAAGAGATTTGGTATGTTCCACCACATAGTGTGTCAAATGCAGTAGGCCGAATATACCAGGATGTCCTACTGCATCCATTCACTGTCTGTGGCCCGTCGGTTCCTACTGCAGATATTAATTGTTCTTCTTCTTTTTGAGTTTTAACATATTTGGTGCATTATTGCAACGAGGTAATTCTTTAAAAAACACCTCACAGATATATAGTTTCATGTCCAGTAAGCTCAGTAATTACAGACATCAGGAGGAAATAGTGCTTCTGTATTTGGGGCAGCAGGGTGTCTGTTCATGGTGATGAAGGAACATGTCAGCCAGTGTTTTTTGGCAAAGAAGGAGCTCTGTGGCTCAGAGGAAGAAGATAATCAGGCTGAGTTACCTGTTCCACAGTGTGCAGGTGGTAGCAGTGCGTGTGCAGGTGGCTGCAGTGTCGAGAGAACAGAGCAGCTCCGACCAGCCAGCAGAGAGCGAGCAGCAGGTCCGACACACTGAGCAGGAACAGAGGCTGCAGCTGCACACACAAAACATCCACACCGGGAGCTCATCAGGACAATAATGCTTTTATCCAGTTAACTCACCCCCCCCATCACATTTTACATTATGTCACAAAGCCCCCGCAAGGACATGGAGGGAATTTTTCGATGGAAAGTCCAACCTTGACCTTTCAGTGACTCCGTAAGGGTCAAAAATATTTAGAGATTGTGAAATCAAACCTGTGGTTGCACATTACCCTTTTAGGAGAAATAAAAATCAAGTGTATGAGTAAGCAGGAAAGCAGTGAAGTTCCACAAAGAATCTGAAAGAGAAACTAACTTTTCAGAACATCTGAGTAAATATTCAACTCAGAAAACTGTGTAAGACTCGGCTCTCAGAGTTAAACAGGTAATGAGTATGAATTTAGGTGCGGTAAATGTTGGTTTTCTGCTTTGAATCTTAACCCCAACGACAAATCTTTTCTACCCTTTCACAAACTCAACGCGTTCTCATGTATGACTGCAGCGAGCAGAAACATGTCAAAAGAAAGAGAAGTGACTGACCTCCGGCGTCCGGCTGAGTCTCTGTAACATCACACAGATGATGATGGAGCCTGAACCCAGAATACTGCAAACATGAAACACAGACGGGTGTTAGAAGAGACCTCATGTGCACACTGTACGGACAAAAGTACTGGGACACCTGCACATTACATTTACGACGTCCCATTCTGAATCCATAAGCATTAATATGGAGTTGGTTCCCCCTTTTGCAGCTCTTCTTGGAAGGCTTTCTACAAGACTTTACAGTTTGTCTGTGGTCATTTTTGGCCAGTAAGATACTGATGTTGGACGAGAGTCTGGCTCGTAGTCTCTGTACTAGTTTATCCCAAAGGTGTTGAGTAGCGGTGAGTTGGGGTCTCTGTGCGGGACGTTCAAGCTCTTCCACACCAAACTGGGTAAACCATTTCTTCATGGAGCTGCTTTGTGCACGGGGGGGTGTTGTCGTATAAAACAGGCAAAGGCCAAAAACAAACTAATAAGACTTAACAAAGACCACAGCATGATAAAACAGCCCCTATTAAAAGTATTATGACTGGGGTGTCCCAGTACTTTTGTCCACATAGTGTGTGAACATCTCATGAGTAAAATGTTTATTATCTGTAAAACCTTTTATTTAATAAACTTAAGCTGCCGTTTCTCTGTGGGAAACGTTACAATGCGAAGAAACGAGGTGAGCAAACGAGTTCTAATCAGATCATTTCACGCTGAGTGGAACTTTTCTTCTTCTGTTGTGTGTGTGAGTGCTTTGACCTTTGACCTCCCTCCTGTTAGCCAGTTACAGTGCAGATGACCCAGAAATGAAAGTTTAATCTACTGAGGACTCTCTGGATGAGACACATTCAGGCGTCATTTACGTTACATTAAAAACTAAATTAACGACTGCGTTTATATAAATAATAAACCTCATCTACGCTTAAACAAACAAACAAAGACCCCCCAATCCTGACGACTGATTTATCGACATGTAAAACAAACATGTCACATCTGACAACACGTGAAAATGTTCGAACCACACTAATGATTCAGTGTCGTTATTGTTATTTCATTTTGTTGAGTTGCTGGAATTCAGTCTTTCCTCATTGGTTTCCTCCTATTTTTCCTTTCTTTTAATAAATAATTGATGGACATTTTGAATTGCTTTTGGGTATGACAAAGTAGATGTGTAAATATTAATTTGGAAAGCAGGTAAATTATTAAGTATTTGATTTCTGAACACGGGGTAAGAGTTTCAAAAATGTCTTCGGCTAAAATGATTATTATTCATTTATTTATTATTGTGTTATTTAATCATTTTGATTTGTTTTAATTACTATTTCTTCTCGGGGGACATTTTTAGATTCTGTTGTGATTGTTACAGGTGTTAAAGTTCATTTGATCTTTAAAGTAGCTTTTGTCTTTCCCATTTTTCTTTCCCCAGTGTAGTGGATTCTCAATGTTAGAGTAAAAATCTCTTGCATAAAAATGATCATTCAGCTCTGCAGGCACATCACTGCATCCTGTAACATATTTACAGATTAAAATTAAATGTCACCCCAATATCTCTGTTAAAACTACAGTTTTTCTAGATTGCTAAAACGCACTTAATGAAATTGGGATCCACTTGATCGCCATCATCGCCTTCTGAGCACAGCAGAAGTCTTCTCTCTTTCATTTGATTCAAAACAGTTTGCACAGATCTTTCAGAACTCCACTGGATTAACTGTGTTGAACATCTAATCCCAGCTGATAGGAATTACTTGCATAATCATAAATCTCTAATTTCACCTGTGTGAAACTCCTTTGACCAGCAGTCGCTCCTCATCTGTTTATCAAAGATGCCGCCGCTGTGTTGCAACAGGACAGTGCAATAATAGAAAATAATAGAGTTCATGCTGTGATTTGCTTGCCTGCCTTGTTTGGTACACACAAATGTTTAAAGTATCAACAAAGCTGGTGTTTTGTTTTCCACTGTGTAATATTTGATTGAAATAATGTATTCATTTGACCACAAGTTGTGTTGTTTGGTGGAAATATTTGCTTTGTTGCATGTTTTTAATGTTTTGCGAGGTGTTTCGGTCCGTGAGCTTCAGTTAAATGTGCATTAAATGTGATTTCAGAGAAAACAAATGTGTTTAAGGAATCAAGAAAAACTGTGAACTAACTCCTCTGAATTGTGCAACACATGCGTGAATCTGAAAGTCCACATATCCTGTACCCTACTTTTCTTTTTCAATTTCCAATTAAATAACATTTATTGATATCAAACATAAGTTAGTTTGGGAAACATTGTACAGTGCTGCAGAGTTATGCGTCAGTCACCAATCTGACTGTAAACTTCACGGCCGTTTGTTTAAAGTGAACAGTTTCACCATGAGGGGAACAAACCAGGCGGCGTTGAAGTCACTGACCTGAGAACAGCCATGACGAGCTGGATCCACCTGACGGCTTCGTACACCTGCAGACAGCAGATCAGTTTTAACATCAATGCTGTCACATTAAAGACACTTTCTAATTCACAAACGAGGCACCGAGGAAGTTTCAAAATTAAAAAGGAACTAAAGACAGATGGTAAGAGTGAACAAAGAAAATACAAACCTGATAATACCGAAGTATTTAACTGCAGAGGCTCGTGTGCAAAACAAATAAATGGAAGTAAAGGTACATAAGCAGCATTTTACAAATCATCAGTATTCTGTCTTTCTTTTCAACAGATCTCACGTTCAGACTGAAACCATCAACGTGCGAATCTGTCTCTCAGCACGGTCTGACTTCCTGTCTGCGTCCGCCGCCAAAAATAGTGGCGGCGGACGGATCCACGTGTGGCGCTCTCTGGTGAATGTTTGGGGCAGTGGGAATTTGTTGACAATAAAACAAAAAACAGACAATAACTTGTTATTTTGAAGTTAAGGTTCATGTCAGCCACAGATGTTGGAGAGTGAAAGTGTTGAAATAGAGAAGAAGGCGAGACGCAAAAGCCCAGAGAGTCTGAAAGAAGAAGAAAGTTTGAAGACGCGACTGAAACCAGCCGTTTGTGTTTCCACAGCTTCGCCCTGCAGCTGATCATCACTCAGGAGATTCACCCCATCAACCATTTCTAACCTGGGAGCTGAAACTCAGTCAGTACAACTGATGAAACTCACCAAACAATGTTTATCGCTTCCTTCATTTGCATTCTCTGTTCCTCTGAGGTGGCAGACAAAGTGCTGCAGGATTTCTTCTGTTACATTTATTTAACAGTTATTTTACCAATTTAACAAACCAAACATTTGATTAAAAACATGTTTCCAGTTCTCTGATCCTTTAAATCGAAGCAAAGATCTGAGAAATGTCAGAAAAACAAACGTGATTTGAGCTGCAGAAATGTATTTTAAGTTAAAAACCATCTCTCAACCCTTTTTATTGCTTTATCTTTATTATTAATGTTATTATTTATTATGTTGATAAATTTATCTTGTGACCCCTTGAGAGGCCCCGACCCTCAGGTTAACCAACAATATGTAAATTCATTAAAATCAGCTCCACCTTCACCTGCTGCAACATTAAAGTGCATCAATAATTATAATCCAGTCATATAATTCTCCTGCTGTTGGTACTGTAAGTATATTTTGCTCTAATACTTTTGTACTTTTACATGTGTATTTTTACTTGAGTAAAATATCTTCCAACACTAACTTTAAGTACAATTTGTTGATACTTGCGTCATTTTCTAACAGATTCTTTTCTCAGGTCGCAGTAAAGAAAACTGAAGTCGGACTCTCACCTCGGTCCAGTCCTGGGCTCTGGTGGTGTTTTCTCGGTGCTGTTGGTGAAAACCTCCTGCAGACTCTGTGCAGTCGACATGCTGGAAACTCAGAGATGATTTCAAAATGAAAGATACTTCAAATGCAGATCAGGGTGCAGCCTGGACCTGAGACTGATCCAGCAGCCTGGCAGGAGGAGCTTTTATCCTGCAGCCCAGACAGAAGGCTGGATTGTTTCCACTGACTCCGCCCACTGTACATGCTGACCACGCCCACTTTACCACACCCCTTGAGGAGCTGGACCAGGAGGCAGGAGATCAGACCTGATGAGCTCTAATGTACAGTAACTTTGTTTTTATTTACTGTAAGAACGGTACTTCTTTGTCTGACACTTGTTGATGCTACTTGTACACTTATCTATCTCTGCTCTTGTCTTTGCTGTTGCAAACTACAATTTCACCGTCTGTGGGACAAATAAAGGTTATTTTATCTTATCTTATCTCCTGACCTTTCCCTCCAGCGCCACCCTCAGGACCTTTTCGCACTGCGCATGTTTTCTTGATGAGTCACATGTAGTTTTTTCACACCAGCTGTGAGGGACTCTACACAAACTGAAGCCCTCAGCCTGTTGGTCACATGATCACGTCCAGTAATAAAAACGTCTCTTCAGCTTCAGGTAAAGCCAAAGGTCTCGCGCTCTCAAACCGAAAACCCAGAGTTTCCCTCATCTCAGGCTCAACTTACTCAGAGTTTTCACTAAACCCGCTTTCTGAAACAGGGCCCTGCACAGGTGACCTTTTGTTTTTACTTTCACTTTTACTAAAATCCTGTAGGTAGTGATAGTACAGATACCCTTGCTAAATATTACCCCACTAAAAGTAGAAGTCTTCAATTTAAAGTACAAAAGTACCTGCATTTACATTAGTATGGTTGTTTTCGGGGGTTGCTGACATGGCAGTTTAAAAACGGTTCTCAAAGTAGTTGCCCATTAAATCGACTAATTGTTTCAGCTGTACTTGTATAAGCTGTTGGTTTATTATATATTTTATAAACCCTTCATGTGTTTTGTGTGTAAATCTGATTTTGTAAAGTAACTGAAGCTGTCAGATAAATGAGGTGTAAAAGTAAAAAGTACAATATCTCCCTCCGAGATGAAGCGAGCAGAAGTAGAAAATGGCATGAAAATTCTCAAGTAAAGTACAAATACCTCTAATACAGTAGTACTTGAGTAAACGTACTTAGTTTCTGCATAGTAGTTTGCAGTATGAGACTGCCAGGCTCAGTGAGTTTCAGGTTTTGGGAAGCAGAAGTAAAATATAGGAGGAATTAAACTGACATTTAATTCTAATTTGATGTCTTGTGAGGAGAACAAGGCTGCAGCTGATCTGTAACATCCGGGAACCTCCTACTGCACATTTAGCTTTGGTTTGCACACTGCCTTTCAGGCTGAATCCGCACATACTGCATGTGTGATGAGGTGGTTTCCAATACGAGCCTTCGTCTCTGGAGGAGAAAGTAACCCTGATGATGTCACAGTGATGTCATCTTGGTTATCCGGGGCGAGTTCAATTGGGCGACATGTTTCCTTGCAACGTCCCGCGACGGGCTCCGAGGTACGTTTTCTCCCATTTGGTGGGCGTGTCACAGGTGTTAGCCAATCAGCTGCGACAAGTTTGTAAACACAACAGCGTCATAAAAGGCTGGAAAATGCAGCGCTACGAGGTGTTCAGGGAACTTTAATGAAAGACGCTGTCCAGTTGCATTATGGGAATTGTAGGATCGAGTGTTTGTGGACGTCTCCCCGTTCTCCTGCTGGTTTGAACCAGTTTAATTTAAGTCCAACTAATCAGACGACGCCTTCATGATGGATCTGCAGCTTGTTGTTTAATCTGTGATGATGGACTCAAAACTAGAAATTTCTCTCTGAAATGTACAAGTACTTCAAAGCAGTACTTTCTACCCCCCCATGTGTGCAGACCTTCTTCTTTACGTGACTTGGTCTTTATTTAGATTTCCTACATTTGAAGAGGTTTTAATCTCTGTTCCTGTAAATAAAAAGGTTAATGGTGTTACTTTCAACCATGTTGACGCCACCTGCTGCTGGGAGGGAGAACGAACATACTTCAGAAATCGCCTGATCCCAACATTAAACCCATCAGAGAAATGAAACCCTGCTGAGAGAACTGGGACATGCGGTTCCACATGTTATTAAAACCCACTGAAATATTTACAGCTTTGAATTTTAAATATTCCAGATGTCGTGTTCTACACATTTTCAGGTTCTCACTTATAATTCTGCCTCTGATGGGATTAAAAACATTAACCGTCACTAAAATGAAATAAACAGGTTTATAAGAGTTGATCATCTTTTTAATGCACATGCAGCCTGTTGCTGTTGCTTCGGTCTTATTTCTAACTTTCTTCTTTCTCCAGTGAGCCCTGTTTCCATCCAGGGGGTCAGTGTGGAGGATTACAAATACCTGGGAGTGCACATGGACAATAAGCTGGACTGGGCCAAGAACACTGAGGCCTCTACAGGAAGGGCCAGAGGTGCATCTATTTTCTGAGGAGGTGAGGTCCTTCAACATCTGCAGGACGATGCTGAGGATGTTTTCTGAGTCTGTGCTGTCCTGTTTGCTGTTGCATGCTGGGGCAGCAGGCTGAGGGCAGCGGACGCCAACAGACTCATCCAAGGCCAGTGACGTTGTGGGGTTGGAGCTGGACTCTCAGAGAGGAGGACGCTGTCCAAGCTACACATCTTAGACAATGTCTCCCACCCGCTCCATGACCTGCTGCTCAAACACAGGAGCTCTTTCAGTGCAAGACTCATCCCCCATAATGCACCACAGAGCGCCCACGGAAGTCATTCCTGCCTGTGGCAAACTTTGAACTCCTCCCTCTAAGCGTCTGACATACAGACACTCGTTTTAAACTGGACATTATCTGTTTTGTGCAGTAATTCCTTTAATTATGTAAATGTAATACTATATTTTCTTTCTCTATATTTTTACTCTGATATTTATATTCTTTTACAACCACTATTTATTTATATTCCTTTTGACTTTTGTGCAACTGTGACAGAATTTCCCTCGGGGATCAATAAAGTATTTCTGAAAATGTCTATTTATTTATTCCCACTTTATTTGTATTTGCTTCACTGTTTCTTACAAGGACAATTAAGAAACTTGACCTGATTGAAAGCTAACGATTCATTACAATATTAATTAGTCTAATCAACATTTATTGGCTACAATATTTTCTAAAGCCAACGTTCACATATTCGAACTGGTTGTTTTGTCCGATCGACAAAAATCCAAAGATGTTCAGTTT